TGTATTGGACGTACAATCTTATTGTTAGACAAAAGTGCACGAAATTGGAAATACTTAAATATCTACTCTTAACGCATAGTAAATCTAGATGTATGAAACTTGAACGATAGTTGGAGTCTTATTTGTACTCCTACAAAGGTATTTTTCACTTTACAAATATTTTTTCCTGAATTATTTGCGATTCTTTTCACTTATGAGCCTAAACTTTTGATAGTGAAAATACTCTGATTTCAATTCTTAATAACATCAAATATTTTCAAAACTAAAAAATTCGTGCCGACAGCACGAATATCTCAAGTTATATTTTATTATATTTTATTTCTTTAAAACGGTGCAGTAAAGACTGCATTGAAACTTGGTAGATATTTTTATCTATTCGTATACTAGATGTATAAAAAAATTCAAAACACTGGTACTATTTCTTCTACATTTTTTTAGCCGTTTTATCCGTGAAGATCGGCTTTTCTCATAAGAGTACGTGTAAAATCAGTGTAAATTAAAATAGTTATATCTCAGCAACCGTTTAGTGGATGCATTTTTACTTTTCTGCAATAAATTAGGAAGACTAAAAGAACAAGTTCACAAATTTTTAGCGACTTTGTACTATTTTGAAGATAGGTCCGATACATCGCTAACATAATTATTTTATTACTCCGCTGCTAATAGATCTCAATTCTTTCTCGACTGAGTTTCGGTGTTTAATTCTACAAAAGTAAAAATTGTAAATTAACTATAATAATTTTTTTGGCGATTTTCAAGGACTTTTGTTATATACAGTAGCGTTTCCAGAAGTGACAGAATGGACTTTGGAAATACAGGAGTCGACAGATTAATGGCTTAATCCGTCGATTATAAATTATATACTCTCAACGTTCATTTGATTCTAAAATAATTGCTCGTCGATGATGACTAATAGATTAACGACCTAAATCGATTCATCTGGCCCAAGTCTCCAATTCTTTTCGGATCTTCAATTATTCATTAATCGATAAAAAGAAAAGTAAAATTTTCGTCATTTTCGGTAGCGTTTTCCCCCAGAAAACCTCAGGTACCAAATTAGCAGGTAGATCTTTTTAAGTACGAGATGGACTTTTCCTGCCCATCTGTACTTTATTTGCGCTCATGGCAGTCAATTGATCGCGGGTGATCCATTACGGGTGACTTACCGGGGAGAATTTGTGCGTAGGCAATCGATCGGGCTCCCAATATTCTCCTCGAGATCCTCCTCCTCGGAGGCACTATGAATCACTGCGAATCACTGAGTCACCAACTGAGAGACGCGGGACGCGGGGTTCGGTCGCGGCGAAAAATCAATCGAAGGGAAAACGTCTCGGGGAATAGACGACGGGAGAGAGACGGCCGACCGTGCAGGCGGATGACGAGCGAGTGAGAGAATGATCGGAGGAGCCGCAAGGCTTGCCGATCGGCCTGCTCGCCCGAGGACGAAGGAAAAGGCGAGAGCACCGAGTTTATACTCGACAGGCCTCCCTTCGGCATCGCAAAGGAAGAAAGCACGAGAGCCGATTGCGAGTAGAAAACGCTCGCGATGTCATCGAGCCAGTGCCTCACATTGAGGCGATTCACTTGCGAGTTGAGGAGATACGCGAGATTCGGGAAAAGACTCGTCGACTTACGCACATATGTTTCTTTTCGACCGCGGATTCTTCTTTCCCGAGAATATTCAAAATCAGGCACTTCACTCGTACGTCATTCGCGCAAATAATGTCGACACCTCGATATTTTCGCTAAGACAAACACACAAAAAGAATCATAAGGGAAACTTCTATTTATAATGTGGGGAAACTCTATGATGGCTTATCATTTTATAATATGATTATTAGAGACGTTTTCGACACGAAACATTAATTTTAAACCAAAATTTCATTATTGTTTACAATCCTCTGCCACCTGAATCTTATACTTTCAATTCTCGAGCGATGAAAGTCTATCGGTTCTGAGCTGAAAACCAAATCAAGCTTTCGTTTATGGGATGAGCCAGTATTATTACACATGCATTTATTGTCGATGAAGTGCATTTATATAAGCAGTGATATCATATAACTGCTGATTATTGTATACTTTACAAATAAATAAATATGAATATATCAGCAGTGTTTTCTTTGAAGAGAATAAAAATGAAAAGTAGCCCGTGTCAGGTGCGTTTGCACGAAACTGTGATAATTTCTCGTTCACCTGCTGCTTCAGCTGTTCCTATCTCTTCCCGCTTTCCCGTCTCTCGTAAAAAAAAGTAGCGCAACTTACGCGAGAAGAGAATCAACCGCTCAACAGTATCATAAACAACGTAATTGTCGAAGTTGTAATTGTACGGCGCGTCACACGCTGCTTCAACTTAAGCCTCCGTGAATCTCGCGCAAGTCTCGTCAGGAAGGTTCGCCGATCGGCAGAGGAGCTACGCAAATTTTGTGTCGCGTCCGTTCCGGAAATCGAAGAAACAGAGCATAACAAGTAAAGGTCACGAATAACAGAGAAAGAGAGAGAGAGAGAGAGAGGGGGGGGGGGACTGAAATACAAAGAGATTCGTCTTTTCTAGCACAAATTCCCCGACGAAACGACATCGTTTTCCCCTACTTTCTCGAGTATCGTACTCGTAGCATCGTTGGTGATGGAAGAACGACTCGATTTGGATTTCCTATACGAGAGCACGCTTATCGATTAACGTACGTCGTATCGGTCCAATGTACGTCGGATACGTGCGCATACCGTGCGCTTATCGAACGGCGATGTTCGGTGGATTTTCTCCTCGTTATTTCTCAGTAAGAGGTTCCTCTCGTACGAAATCTCACGCCTCGCGATCTCCTGAGACTCTATCCGCGAAAGCGATTTACAATTTCTTAAGTTTTATAAATTATAAAGAATAATTAGTTGCGCTCTCTGAAGAACGTTCTTCGTTTTTAACGTATTTTCAGCAGCTCGAGGATCGCTCAGAATTAATTTAAAAAGCCTGAGGCGTGCTTTCAAACTCTCAATTCGTTTAATATCGCCTTCTCGCGATCGACTATGTTAAAAATTGAATTGCCAGGTAGGTGCTCAAATGAACGATATTCACGGGTGCGACTAGAGGCGGAAAAGGAGAAAGAAAAAGAACGCGTTTTAACACCCGTGTTACGTTTGAAATTTTCGCAAAAGATATGTAATTTTGGGAATTTTTCTGTAGACGCAATAAATGCAAGAAAAATGCATGCGACTGTTATTCTGTCTTTGAAATAACTCAGACAGCAAATTAACTTATTTGTCATTTTAACGTCAAAATCGCGACAAATAACGTTAGCTTATTATCTGGCAAAGGGACCTTCTAGAGGGTACAAGGAGTATACCTACATCCATTAGCATCAACGTCATGAATGTTGAATAATTAATACGCGAATGTCCTTATAAAAGGACAATGGGCAAAGTTGGACTAATACACCGTCAAGTTTTGTCGAACGTGATGCAGTCCATTTAAGATTTTTATTGTAGAGGAAAATCCCCTATTATGAGACAGGCTTCTAATATGAGATAGCGGAGTTTCTGCTAAATTAACCCTAGAGAGCATAACCGGGGTCGATCCCGACCCCAGGCGAACTTTGAACTACGCTCCTGAGCTAGCGAGTGGCATTATTGACTCAGGACTTAGATCATAATTCATTTCAACTCTCTGAAAGTAGGGCTATGTCGGTCGCAGCGTTAGATGTTCGTTGGCAGTGACGCAGCACCGTCGCAAAGCGTGCGTGGGGTCGATATCGACCCCAGTTGGCAGTTGCCGTTTGTGTTTCGTAGCGGTAAACTAATTATATATTTTTTGCTAGAATCAATATATTTCATGTATTATTACGTAATCTGAGCATAAATAGTCATAAATATTATTTAAGACAAAATATCACACAACTTAGTCGGTAAAAATCCCGTTGCCTATAGAAAATTGACATTTCGCAGAAAATGGCTGGGCGATATAATTTGAGACCCATATCAGCATTTTTTCATATTTTTTACTATTTTGTATCAAATAAAAAAAATAATACTTAAAATACAATTTTTTATGGTTTTTTCATCGACTTTTTCCATATTTCAACTTTGCGAATTTCTTCATTTTTATAGTCCCAAATAAATATACTTTTTGAACAGAACATAGCGATGACAATTTTTTTCCAATAGTCTAATGTGTCCTCTTTAAAACCCCGTTTGAATTTTGAAAGTCGGTTGATTACAAAAAAGATACAAATTTTTGTTTAAAAATGAGGTTTTTGCTGATTTTCTGCATCGTTCGGTCTTTAACTAAACTTGAGTGAAACTAAATTTATCGCATACCATTCTCTTCTTTATTAAAAAACGAAGAAATTCATGTTCTATTAAGGTCCTTTATCTCTATAGGACCGGTTTTACAATAAAAAAAAGCGTGGGGTCGATATTGACCCCTGTTGTGAGTTAGAAGGTCAAAAAAGTAATAGGTGCTTTCTAGGGTTAATAGGCATCATCTGTTGGTTCCACCATGAATTTATTGCCTTTGGAGTGAAATCTGTTTAGTGAAAAATTGATTGTTAGATCGTGAAATCGTTGCGAAAAAAGATTTGTGATTAAATGTGGATGTTGAAAACCTACTATCTCATCTTAGAATCCTATCTCATAATAGAAGACTTTCCTCTATTATTAGCTGTTTACTTAAAGATTTAATGTTCTGACAAAAGCTGTGTAAAATAATCGGCCGTTTACTCACAAAAAGTATACCAAATTCGCACAGAGATATTGTGTTCTCTGTCTAATAGGTCGTTACCACGATCCAGCCTGAGCGAAAGGTGGCATCTTCTTCAATTAATTGCACTAAAGATTCTTAGGCCCTGAGCAGAGTGGCTGTCTTGTATTCTTAAGTCACAGGACAGTTATTGTGCGTGACTTTAAGACAAAGATTTAAAACACAAAACATTGTCTTAAGAGTACAAGACGGTCATTCTGCCCAGGCCCTTACGGACTATAACCGAGACCAAGTGAAAACGCATTGTACTCACAGGGATTCTGCAGCACCTGCCGGTAGACGCGGAGAGCCGCGGTTCTCTGGTCCACGTAGTCCCACAATCCGTCGCAGGCGATTATGAGAAAATCCTCGGTACCATCGAGAGGCACACACCGGACCTCGGGCTCGCCGCTGATGTACGGTTTATACGGGACATCGCCTGGAGAGAAAAAAAAATGAAAGAGCGACCGCTCCGCTGTTAAGAGGCACGCGCGCGCCGGAGGCTTACTAGGCGCGAACGCGAAAAGCGGAAAGGAATGTTCAGCTCCGAAAGTATGCGATGAAGATTGGAGCGCGGAGGCACAACTGTTACGGTTTACCCATTGGTAAAGCCGTAATTCAGATATTTTACACGTGAAAAACACGCCACGCGGCGCGCAATTAAGTATAATTAACTGTTTAATGAATAGCGCGGCTAATTTAAATAACGACGCCACTGCAACAACGCCGCGCTTCCGGTTATTATGAATCCGAACGCCGCTTTTTCTTCCATACCAGCCTCGCGAAGCCGGAGCTTGGCGTACACACACACACACACACACACACACACACACACACACACATACATACGCATTTACACGAGAAAACATATTTGCATCACGCAACCGAGTTATCTCATTCGCCATAATACAAATTAATTTTTACAAATTCGTAATGAACCTCCCCTCCCCCCTTTGGCTTTGGGACCTGTTGCGCCAACATTGTTTGCGATAATTAATTTCGTTTAATTACATTCTTTATGATAACGACCGTAATATCATTAAGCCGCGGGCCTATTTAATTCGCTGATAAAATCGAGTTTTACACGACGGGTTTTAATTTGAAGGGGAATAGGCCAACAAAAACTCGGAGATGTCGCGTTAAGAATCGTTTCCTCTCTTCTTTTTACAGATGGTACAGGGTCGTCCCGATCTGTGGAGCGCGTCCGGAAGGTCAACGCGCTGATGAACGTTCGATACGTCGCTGCTCGCGAGCCCTACGCGTCTGAAGATAAGCGGGAATGGGAGAAATAGTCTTTTAATTATTCCGGACATGCGATTGTGCGAGCCACACTTGGTAGAGCGCACCCGGAGCGTAACTGCACGTAGTATTGTGTCAGCGGGCGAACGGAACCAACAGGATACCCGACACGCGGCCAGAATTTTTTCTCTCCTCTCTTTCCCTTCCTCACCTTTACAGGGCTCGCGCTTTAAACCGTAGTTGGCCACGGGCTGGCCCGGGCGCCCGTGCCTTACTTGGCCACCTTTGGCGAACGAGCGATACTCGCTGATACTCGCGACCCAGCGAGCCCGATGCCGCGCGGCTTTGATTGACCAACAACAATGGGAAAGCTCTCGCGCCGATTACGTCAATCCGAAAGTAGCGTCGTTTCCGACCGACACGGCGATTACTTCCGTCTGGCGTGGTAATTCGTCGAAAACAACACCGATCCTCGCGATTCGTTGCCAGCCACGTTTTCGACTACGTGCGCGGAATCGAGATCTCGCAGACCGTGAAAAGCGAAAAAGTTTCCTCACGACCGCCGAGGAAAATGGAAATAAAGAAAACCACTTCCGTTACGAACACGTCGATGATTTAACGTACTTTCCCGAGAATTAGGCGTGGTTAATTTCGAACTCGAGAGCACTGATGTTGGATTTTGTTGTCAAGTTTTCAGAGAAATTTAATCGGGTTCCGGGGTGGCTTCAATGTGCAGTCTCGTGAGAATTTTTTGTCGATGTCTTTTTAAATTTATTATATATAAAGTATACGAGACTTCAAGATTGATATCAGCTTCTTACGCTTCGCGTTCCTCATGAAATTCTGAACGACGCGCAGGCATCGGCACTGCGTCGATCGACCACGCTGTCTCCATCTGTACGTTTCCATCGTGCCTTCTTCAACGCGGCGAAGGCCGACTGGTAAATTCGATAGTGGAAACTTATCGTAAAGGCCGAATCAGACTAGCAACTGTCGATTGGATTGGGATTAGCGATTGTCTTCTAGCCAATGAGAGTCGATTCGCTCTCATTGGCTAAAGGACAATTGCCAATTTCAAATCAATCCGAGTCAATAATTGCTAGTCTGACTCGGTCTTTAAAGCGACCTTGATCAAACTCCGGATAACTTAATCGCCGACTAATTCGACTGGCACAACTATACAATTCTAATCGTAAATTTGCCCAACCCAGATAGCACAAAGATGAACATAAGTTCATAGAGAATTCATTTTAAAGAAAACATACAGAATTAGAAAAATGAATATCTGAAGAATTAGTCTCAATCAGTTCGTTTTGAAGTATTCTTCTGAAGTTCATTATAATGAATACTTCGCGATTCAGTACTGTGAATACTTTAAGAATTTATGAGGAATTATTTGTCATGCGCGAGTATCCGCTAACCGCCATCCGGACGTTCTTCTGCAGCGTGTTACCACGTGCAATATTTTGTGTGCGTAACGTTATGTGCAATTAATTTTGTGTAATAGTTCTATTGTGTAAAAGAAAGAATCGAACAACGAGAACCGAAACGGGGAAGAATCATCCGATTGTCAACGAGCTTCGGTTGAGAGTATCTCACTGTTGAGTGAGAAATTATAATAATGGTGTAATGTTACTGCATATTAGATGTGTACATATATTGGGTAAATATTTTGTAATCCTCTTTGTTTTAACACTATTCCCCTTCAATTCATAAAGTTTACATTTATTGAATTCGAAATGAATACTTTAAGAAGTTGTCAGGAAAACGATTTATGGTGCATGTAACTTCCTCTGTCACTCTTATTGTATTCTTCTATGAATTCCTAAAGAATTACAATTCAGAAAAAAGAAAACTTAAAGAATACTTTGTGAATTCAGTGTGCTATCTGGGAAGTCTGTTCTTCATCTATCAACCTAAAAAGAAATTAATAATTCCGACTTGTATCGATTAATTAAATGTTGTAGGCATTATTTGAATTAACTGTATTTAACGTAAAGGCTGAATTAGACTAACAATTGTCGACGCGGGTTGGATTGGGATTGGCGATTGTCTTCTAGCCAACGAGAGCAAAGCAACCAGCGATTTAATCGACTCTCATTGGTCAATCGTCAATCGCCAATCCAGGTTCAATCCGCGTCGGCAATCGCTAGTCTGATTCGGCCTTAATTCAAAGTTTAATCAAAGTCGTTTAATTATTTAAAGCTCCACACAAAGCGTGCTTTGCGCGACGAAGAGAGAAAATGCGTGAAAGTTTTAATTTTCAATAGACGTCTATTTCAATCTACGTCTTTGCGGATAAGAAAACGCACAATATTACAATCACTTACCAATGGCTCGGGATATACTGAGGAATCCGTTTACTCGCAACACACCCATACAATGGACGATGACTCCTCCCAGACTGCGAATCCGTTCGCTCTCGTCCTGAAGGGAAAAAGTTCGTGACGTATGTAGTAAATAGGGCGCATCGGTGCCTCGATACATCTCGCACGTGGCATTTGTCAATAAAGAACCGGGCATAATATTCTCGCAATGGTATATGGATGTCAAACGTGTCGATACCTCGATACTTTCGCCTCGGATTACCTCGGATTCACGTTTCACGCGTCGCGATTGTTCGCAATGTAAAGGATTCCGCACGTCGGTGGCGGCGTAAAATTACCGGTTTAAAAATCAAGTCTTAAACATGACTGTCGTCGGCACGCAGACCGACAGCGATAAGAGATTGGTGAATTTTCAAAATTACGAGGAATATTTGGACTCGCTGGTGACGCCTGCGGACGTCTGCTACCTGAGAAGCACCAAGACCGCGCGCCAATTGGCCGAGCTCGGTTACCGCTGCACGGGCGAGACGCTAAGCGAGGAGAGCTTTTATCGTCGCCTGCGAATCGTGAGAGATCTGCTGTTTCCCGTTCACCGGCCTTACGAGCTCACATCGGAATTCGTGTCGCCCGCCGGTAGGTTAATGGAGGAGCTCGCCCTGCGCGAGCGAGCCAACCGATTAAGGATTCTGTCGACAATCGTATTCGTTCGCCGCTTCGTAACGAGGCTACAATTCGAGGAATCGGCCTACATCGATTTCTGCGATCGGCTCGAGTCGGAGGATTGGCTGCCGTATTACCGAGGGGAAAGAAGATTGTCGCCGCTCAAGCGAGATCTCGCGTACCATCACTGGAGAATGGGGAGGACGTGTTTCAACGACACCCGTAATTACGTGTCGATCGTGGACCCCAAGCGTGGCCTGTTGTTGAAAAATATTCATGACAGACAGGTGATAACGGTCGATCCGGCCGCCGCGTCGCCCGGTGTGCAGACGACGCGAGTACGCGTACACTGTCCGTTTTACGAGCACGTAATATTGTACGACCATGTGATACGAAGTAAAATTGTATATGAAAATTAGAAATGTCAATATCAATTCAACATTCATATTGACTAGATTTGCAAATTATAAAATCAATCTTCATGATACGCGTCTTTTCTCGCCGCTCCTCCAAGGAAAGAAAATGATAGTATAACGAACGAAGATACTTTGATAAACATCAGTTAAAATTATAATCTCAAACCAGTTAAAAAAAAATTGATAGACTATCGATTTAGCCGATGGGCTAAATTAGTTTCACATCGAGAACGCTTGGCGATAAATACGCGAGTTCGTTGTAAGAGCGGGATATTTCGAGGATCGTGACAATTGGATATACGGTTTAAACATAGGAACGTCCCGCCAGAAACGAGAGGTCTTACATTTTCTATTTAATTCTATTACAAGAAGTAGGAAATCCAGGTTACTTACTTCTCTCGTGGGTCGATGTGGATTCACCAATTGTTTCACGTTGCCGCACGTAACCAGCGAAGCCATGGAGTCACCGACCCAGGCGATGTACAACTTCTTATTTATCAGCAACGCGCAAATCGCGGTGGAGCCGCCATTTAATTTCTTTAACGAAACACAATGATTTATACAATTGTTCGTGACGAGAAGCGAGTTACGTGGAGTAAAATATAATAATTTCGCAGGAAGTTTTACCTGCGTACTCGATTTCGCTATGAATTGTGCGTCGGTAGTTAGGAAGGCATCGCGCAGCGCACTCTCCGGATCTGTAGGATAGTGCACGCTCTCGACCAAATATTGATGCAGATGCGTCGCGCAGTACGCCGCGGCGTCCTGTCCGCCGTGGCCGTCGAACACGGCGTAATAATCCACAATAGTGTCATCCTGCAAAAGTGTAAATTAATGTATCAGCTTGTACATTAGCGCGTCGGCAATGTCTGATGGAATTAATTTCGAATATGATTGCCGATCAATTTTGACACGTAAATTAACGCTTATTATTTCAGCGTTATATAGTAAATTAATTAAATCATTCACCGACTGATTACGAACGGCCGGCGAGAGAGCTACCTGAATATTAAACATGGTGTTTAAATCGTGCAGGATCATGTGGCGATCCTCCATCTTTCTTCTGGCATTTCTAATAGCACCCACTGTCACCTGCGGCGTGGACGAAGGCGGTGGCAGAAGGGCCAGTCTGCTGTTATCTAAATACCGTCTGCAGATCTCGTTCACTTCGTTCGTAACGGCTTGCATGAGTTTCAAAGGCGCGTACGCTGTGGAAAAGGTCGATGCATCTTGAATGTGCTATCATTTCGATCATCGAGTCGTAACATACAAATGCATTTAGAGATTTATATTTTTTATTAAAACTACAATGTTTAGGAGCCAGATATTTTTAAATAGACGGTTTGTATCTCGCATTTTTTTTGCGATTAAAAATATTTACTAAAACGCGAAATCATAAAAATGAAACTTACTCTTTTCTTGCTGCCGCAGCCCGCAGATTTCCGGTTGTTTCTTGCATGTTGATTTGATCGCTTGTATCACGAGACGTGTGATGTAAGATTGCAAGCTTGGTGGACAGTATCTGAAACCAACCGCATGCACTTATCGTCTTTCTTTCGAGGAGTATCTACAAGGCGATACTGAATTTCACAAGTACAGATACACTTTGTTCAGTTTGGAGTCCAATAAAAAAAAATTAAATCAGGATCTGTTATAGTATACACACATAAAAGAAAATGGAAAGAAAAAACCGAAGACGAAATATATAGGGTGCGTTCAGGGAGCTATCAGCGTTATTTAGTAGCACAGTGCATTGATTATACAGGGTGTCCGAAAAATCGCCTACTCCACTTCGGGAGGTGATTCGGGGCCCAAAAACAAGCAAAAAAGTTTATACAAACATAGGTCCGGAAATGAGCCGTTTCCGAGTTATAGCCACTTTTATGTTCAAAAATCGTAAATTTTTATTTACAATTTTTTAAAATTACATTTTTTTTAGTCTTTTTCGATTTGTCAATATTACAATTACATTATTTTTAAAGTAAACATGAACAGATATTTAAATCGAATTAAATAAGGTGTTCAAAATGACCACCTTCAGGACGAATGTAGGCCCTTATTCTTCTATCAAAGGAATTCCGAACTCTTTGAAAATGTGGATCCCTCCTTATTTCTTCAATTCCATGAATTATTCTTTGTCTTAAGTCAGCAATATTATTGGGTGCATTTCTGTAAACAATTGATTTTACATGACCCTATAGATAAAAATCAAGTGGATTCATGTCTGATGATCTTGGGGGCCAGGCAACCGGACCTCCACGCCCTATCCATCTCTGACCATAATTTCGATTCAAATGATCTCTGGCAATTTTGAATAGTCGCGAAAACAACTGACTTTAAGTAGTCGTGAAAACAACTGATTTCCAGTAGCCGTGAAAACAAATGATTTTGAATAGCCGTGAAAACAACTGATTTCGAATAGTCACGAAAACAACTGACTTTAAGTAGTCGTAAAAACAACTGATTTCTTTTAAAAATAATGTAATCGTATTGAATATACAAATATTGAAAAATTGAAAAAAACTAAAAAAATTAAAATTAAAAAAATTAAAAACAAATTTTTAATTTAAGAAATAATTAAGAAAGAGGGATGCCAAGCGGATTCTAAATTACGATTTTTGAACATAAAAGTGGCTATAACTCGGAAACGGCTCATTTCCGGACCTATGTTTGTACAGGTATGAACTTTTTTGCTTGTTTTTGGGTCCCGAATCACCTCCCGAAGTGGAGTAGGCGATTTTTCGGACACCCTGTATAAACATTGGTCCAATGTTGGTTATATTAGAAATGCATTGGCCGGTATTGCCCAACGTAAAGCTAATATTGGCCATGGAATAAATGTAAATACGATAATAATTATATAATATTAGATTTATATTGGAAGTGCCTTGGTCAATATTTGGCAATGTAATATGGAATATTGGTCTAATATTGATACAAATATTAAATCAACATTGCTAAATATTGGCTACACTGTGAAAAAAGTATTATACGTAAAATTACATACATAATAAGTGTAGCGATTACACTATTAATAACGAAAATATATAAATTTATGTACTTTTACAAACAATTTTTTAACTTTTTGTTGCGTAAATACTTGTTTGTGCACAACAAAAGTTACCAAAAATTGTAAAATTTATACAATTAAAAGCAGGCAGTCACTTGTTATATAGGGTAACAATACAAGGTGTCATTTTACAACACCTTTAATAGATGGCCCCAATATTACTCACTATAATAATTGCAACTTTTTTACAGCGTAAATAAGAGAAGGCGTCCATCTTACAATATCGGGCCAATATTGGAAATACTAGATTCACATTATTTCCCAATATTGCGCCAATATATCGTGCTACTAGGGTCTATCCTTGTTGCTCATTATGCGTCAAAGAAAAAAAACCGAGAAGGAAGTACATGATAATGCAATTAAGGATGTATTGGACGTACAATCTTAGACAAAAGTGCATGAAATTGGAAATACTTAAATATCTACTCTTAACGCTTAGTAAATTTAGATGTAAGAAACTTGAACGATAGTTGGAGTCTAATTTGTACTCCTACAAAGGTATTTTTCACTTTACAAATGTTTTTTCCTGAATTATTTGCGATTTTTTTCACTTATGAGCCTAAACTTTTGATAGTGAAAATACTCTTATTTCAATTCTTAATAACGTCAAATATTTTTAAAACTAAAAAATTCGTGCCGACAGCACGAATATCTCAAGTTATATTTTATTATATTTTATTTCTTTAAAACGGTGCAGTAAAGACTATTGAAACTTGGTAGATATTTTCATCTATTCGTATACTAGATGTATAACAAAATTCAAAACACTGGTACTATTGTTTCTACATTTTTTTAGCTGTTTTATGAAGATCGGCTTTTCCCATAAGAGTATGTGTAAAATCAGTGTAAATTAAAATAGTTATATCTCAGCAACCGTTTAGTGGATGCATTTTTACTTTTCTGCAATAAATTAGAAAGACTAAAAGAACAATTTCACAAATTTTTAGCGACTTTGTACTATTTTGAAGATAGGTCGATACAACCTTAAAAGAAACAAATATAAATATATGTTCGTAGCGTACTCGGTTATCTCTCGTGTATCGCGCGCATAGTTTATCCTTTCCGTTTAGCGCGCGATAACCACGACGATGGGCGGTGATAGTCTCGTGATGGTTTCAGTTAAAGTAGATAAGCGCACGGCGGCGACGGCGCGGGAGAGTAGCTTTCATCTCGCGACTCCGATTCGGCCGTTTCCGCGCCTTCGGAGAACTCGCGGTTCGAGAGGGCAAATTTCTTACGTAATCCCACGTTTCCTGCTCGCGTGATGCACCGCGCAGCTATGCGTAACTTTTCTGCGTGTCGACTCTTTTTTTTTCTTTTCCACGGCACGCACGATATCCACGCGACTCCGAGAGAACTCCTTACGTATATCTGGACTGCAGATCCGCCAGTACAGATCGCGCTCGTTAAGACTTACAATGGAAAATGTTTCTCGTGACTTTCTCGGATTTCTTCTCGATATAAAAATAAGTTACTGCGATAACGCTTACACAATATATACAGAGTGTGACAGAACATGTGCAACTTAACTCGTAGATTCGAGCTTCTCAAGTTTACGTTTATTAATGTTATAAAATGTAATAAAAGTGAGGGAAAACTTTACAGCAGCTAGTGTGACTAGCTAAAATTTTTCCTCTCAACTTAAGATTGTAGCGCTCACTTCTCTAAATTTTAAGTGCTCATTTAAATTCCAATGCGTGAAACTTTATCGAGAATGTATATAGTTTTAGAATGTATAACCATATTAAATGAAAAGGGACGTTGTTAATTAATATTATATTTTCCAGAAATCTCAAACTTGAAGACAAGATATCTATGAAAGAATTTGAAGATCCAAAACGTTCTTAATTTCTTCATACGTTACATAACCAGATCGTTCGATTTTCTCGTTTTTAATATCGCGCCTGCGTCGGAATTGGATTAATCTAGGAAGAATTATTATTTAAGGATGTATTGGACCTCCCTGGTAAAAATTCCGTTAGAAACGGATAGAACATGCATTAAATTCTATCTGTTTCTGACTGTTCTACTATGCGTTTTCGCGAAACGAATCTTTACCAGGGCTATCTTCAAAATAGTACAACGTCGCTAAAAATTTGTAAAATTGTTCTTTTAGTCTTCCTAATGTATTGCAGAAAAGTAAAAATGCATCCACTAAACGGTCGCTGAGATATAATTATTTAAATTTACAGTGATTTTACACGTACTCTTATGGAAAGAGCCGATCTTCACGGATAAAAAAGCTAAAAAAATGTAGAAGAAATAGTACCGGTGTTTTGAATTTTTTAATACATCTAGTATATGAATAGATGAAAATATCTACCAATTTTCAATAGTCTTTACTACACCGTTTTAAAGAAATAAAATATAACTTGAGATATTCGTGCTGTGGCATGAATTTTTTAGTTTTGAAAATATTTGACGTTATTAAGGTGAAATCAGGGTATTTTCACTATCAAAAGTTTAGGCTCATAAGTGAAAAAAATCGCAAATAATGCAGGAAAAAACATTTGTAAAGTGAAAAATACCTTTGTAGGAGTATAAATAAAACTCCAACTATCGTTCAAGTTTCTTACATTTAGATTTACTAAGCGTTAAGAGTAGATATTCAAGTATTTCCAATTTCATGCACTTTTGTCTAAGATAGTACGTCCAATACATCCTTAAAACTGTACAAAATCAGGATAGCTAGAAAGATATTTAATAAAAGAAGCGCGATTTCAGGGCAACGAATCAATCGAGAGAGAGGGAGAGAGAGAGAGAAGGAAATCCGATAAAAATTGCATGCCACGATCGAATTGTTAAAACAACTTCCCTGCGCTTGTTTCTCTGTAAAGATGACGAAACGTTTCGCGTTAGAAATAATTTTCAATTCAATTCGGACGCGAGTCTCGCCGCGGCAAAAGGAGTCGCGAGTGAAGAAACGAATACACGAGAGAGAGAGGACTAGCGCGACAACGTGCCTTAGGGATCTGCCTGTATAAATATTAGAAAACATTGACAGCATTAGTTCGCGCGTATCCTACCGCTCGTTATCTGTAGAAATACCGAAACGTCGGTCTTGCCACAAGCATAAATCTCGGCGGGAACAATCGAGAGCTACGTCTCCCCGGTATTTTATTGTCCCGAGTTCGTAACTGAAAGACGAAGTCCACCTTGCGGACGCAATGCGGAAAGCGACCGGGTCGCACGCGTTGGAACGCGAAGCCGACGAGGTTTCGGCGTCTCAAACGGAATGTCAAACGCACACGCACACGCACACACACGTACACACGCGCGCGGAGCGGAGACGCGTGACAGCGCATCACCACTCCCACACGATGATTAATCCAAACAACAAACGCATTGGCTTACATTCGATTGAGGTACTGTAGAGTCACGTTGATGATCTCACCGACGAGCTCGCCCTCGCCGACGTCGTACACGCTCACCTTCACCGGCAGCTGATCGTCCGGGTTCACCCTGGCGACGAACTCTGCGAAGAACCGCGAGTACTCGCCGAGGTAGTCGCCGTCCGCGACGCAATCCGCGGCCATTGTCGCTGCGTGAACGCTGCTCGTCAACGCACGTGCCGCCACGAGGAGCCAACGCGCGACGCCACGCCGCTCCGCTCTGCTCCCGCTGCGTTTCGCTCCGTTCCGCCCGTGCACGCCGCCGCGCGCGGACGCGCGCGCGCGCAACTCACACCCCGCTCCGCGTTCGACGCACCGCACTGTCACGGCTCCGTAAGCGTGGGACGCGCGCGCGAGTCGATATCGCCGCCGCCGTCGACGACTCCGGGTCGAGGCACGCAGCGCGCGAGCCGATATTTATATTAAAGTTATGTCATTCATTCAGCAGAGCGTCCCGCGTCGCACACCGTCGCGCACACACTCGGGCAACCACTATGGACGCGGGACACGCTTCGGTCGGACTTCGGGCGCGTGTGCGTGCGCGTACGCATGTGGAACGGAAGGAACCGAGCGGCGCAATTACGACGGCGTCACGGCGGCCGCGGGGGGGGAGCGCGCGAGAGAGAGAGGGTGGAAGGGACGCGCGCCGCGACGTTCAAAACCCCGGGCGTTCCGCTTGCTCGCGGTCCTCGTTGCAACGCTTCTTCCATCCGCGCGGCGAACACGCGCCAGGAGATCGGCAGTCGACGCGTCCGACACTCGCCACGAGCTTACCAACGATCCCGCGACCCGCTGCTCGCCGGATTCTGCGCTGTTGTTAACGGCTGGCGGTTCAAGGTGGACGAATTGGCGCATGCGCCGGGTCGCCCGGCGCGCGCACGCGCGCGACCATCAAGCGTCCCCAGATAGGGACCGTTCCTTTTCAATTCCCCAACTATAAAATGAATTGTTCTTTCGCCCTATGCCTGTTTCAAGAGCGTTCTACGAGTTGAACGAGAATTCGCTTTCATTCCCGGCGGGAATATTTTGAAAATACAGGGTGAGGCATTTAAAACTGTTTTTCAGAATATTTGGAAAAATACAAATCGGATTAAAAAAAAGTTGCAATAAAAGTTGTTCACCTCGAAGAGGGACATCCATTAACATAAAGCTCGACCACCCTGCACCATCCCCGGGGGCGGGAGGGGGGTGGTGCAGGGGGGTCAAGCTTTATGTTAATGGATGTCCCTCTTCGAGGTGAACAACTTTTATTGCAACTTTTTTTAAATCCGATTTGTATTTTTTCAAATATTCTGAAAAACAGTTTTAAATGCCTCACCCTGTATTTTCAAAATATTCCCGCCGGGAATGAAAGCGAATTCTCGTTCAA